TGAAGTCAAAATTTAACTTTTTTTGTTTTAAATTGCGTGAGATAGTTTCCTGTTTATATGCAGTTTAATGTGGGTGTGAAGGATTTGATATCAACAGGTGGTGACTCAAGGCCTAGCTGTATACAAATGTTGGCCAATCGTAGCCGTAAGGGGACCAGTAAGGGCGATAAAGTGTGACACAGGAAAAGAAGATGAAAGTGAACAAGTTTGACATTGCAAGCCAAAATCCTGGTTTTCCTTGTCCACATGTAAACACAGAACAGAGTTTCGGGGGGGAAGCTCCATTTTCTGTGACCTAAAATGATGTTTACGTGTGGATGAAAGGCCAAAACACATAGAATAAAGCCATGCTTTCCAAAATTCCCACGTGCATGCAGACCGACCGTTAGCAAAAAAATATACAGCCCAGCCTCATGACAGATTGAAAAAGTGAAATGTGACATGGACACAAATCGCCTGTGACGGTCAACACAACCTGGAAACAAATGTCAGTTGGAAGCATGTTTACTTCCCGCAACAAAAACTGTTATGAGATGCCTCAAACGGGCGTCTTCATCAGGACAATGATGATTTCTTTTTTTCTTTTCTTTGTTTTTGGTGATTTATGGTGGTTAAAAAAAACAAATCAGTAGCTGTCAAACTGTGAAGTGCCACAGGTAAAAACAAACATGTTCTTCTTGAGGGAAAATAAATTAGAGTTTGTTAATGTTACTATGTGATTTTAATGATTCCTAAATATTCCCTCCCCTTAACCAGTAAATCAATGAGTGAAGATATAAGTAATGATAGCACCTAACTTTTTAAAATAACTTAAAAAGTAGGCCTTATAACATTGCCTTTTTAAGTTATTAGTGATGCGGTTGTTGTTTTTAACTTATTTACCAGCTGTCACTAAAAAATACCTCAACTTTTCTAAAGTCTCCCAACCTAATAAAGTATAAATAACATTAAACATTACCAATAGGTGTAAATAGTTCAAATATTTACCACTTGTGACTGCTATGCAGATGTTTATGATTATTTGGTATTTGGACTTCTTATTGCATTAGCATTTGTTGCATTTATGTTATTTTAGAGCCATAATAACTGAAGTTGTTTAGTTATTGTTTACTTATTTCAAGTACCAACAAAGTGGAGCTGGGTTTAAGTGGAGGCAGTTTTAAATACAGTAAATAAAATAATAATTCTTAGTCGGGGGGACTAATGATAAATCATTTGTGTGTATACATCCATGCTATACATCTGTGCTAGCTACTGTAATTAAAGTTCAGGGAAATTGGGTCTAAAGTGAAGTTGTTGGGTTTTTTTTCTAAAAGCTACAAGCAGCTGCTGGTTGGGTAAAAGAGCCACATGTTTGAGACCCCTGGTCTAAACACGTGTAGGAGTTGTTGAATCAGTTGTCAGGATGGTACTTTTGTGGATTTCCTGTTGCCCGACTAGCCTGTGTGTATCTGTCTTGTATATTTGCATTTTTCTAACTTCTCTCTGAGCGTCTGTTTAACTTAACTGCTTTAAGCTGAAGTGAGGCTCATTTTCACTCTTTGTTGTTCAGCTTACAGGATTCACTGACTTCTATTTCCTCTCCTCTTACAGGAATAACTCTGAGGGCTTTTTTTTCTTTTTTTTTTTTAAACCTCTGCACCCTCCCAGAATCCAGCATCCAGAACTCCACATATAACGTCGGGACTCTCAGAAGACTAGAAAGGCCTCCTACTCTCCAAGTGCTGCAGCTCCGCCGCTAGTCACAGCCATCATCTGCAAAACAACTAAATGCATTTTGCATGAGAAGGAAGCAACGTTGCATTATCAAACAAGATTATACAGGAAACCATGTGATTCTCCAAGTGGTTCCTCAATCCATCTGCACGCCAAATCCCTGTGTGCAGCAAGCAAAACCTTTTGCTTTCACTGCCTTATATGACTTTGATGCATTTTTATGATTATTGAGAATAATTATTGTAGCAACGTTTTATTTATGAAATAAAGCCATCACTCCGGAAACTTAAAATCGCTGTAGGCTGTATATGTTAGAGAGCGTACACTATTTAACCTCGCAGTAGAAGTGCCAACGTTATTTACAAGCAAGCATCGCCTCATTCCTTCAAACAGCTCCATGGTTATCCAGCAGGTATGTCACTACAGAAATCACTACAGCTACGTACTGTACATATCAAAGCTTTCCTAGGAAAATAGCAAATTATCTTTCACAGTTGATTTTTTTTTTTGTTGTCATGTCTACTTGAATAGCATTTTCCTTTATATCAGTGTTTCATCATTTCTCATTGATTGATTCCCCCACTTCAAGGTTTTTAGAGACTATGTCCTGGCAAAAAAGTCAAGGAATCAAAGGTTTCTGGGCATGAAATGGATTTTATTTGCCTGTGGAGGGTTTGTTTTTTCTCCAGGGTAGATGATCAGCTGCAGCACAAGTCCCAGGTTTGTGTGACTGTGAGGCAAAGGGTTCAGACTGGCGAGCTCTCCCCTGATTTACATTCAAAGCCAAGAGAGATCTATAATCCCCCTCCACTTTCGCCCACCCTGAACACATCAGCTGTGTTGCCCCCCTCTTATCCATTCTAATGTATCCCAAAAAAATGAGTATTATTGATGTACAGCTGTGTTTTCCTCAAAAAGGTGCAACAAAAGTGGCAAGTGCATTTGTTTTGTTTTGTTTTTTTTTAATTTGCTGGTCTCTTCTAAAATAATAAAAACCACCACAGTACTGAAACCTGTGTCAGCACTCATTTATGCCTCTTTAAGTATCAGTTTTTGTCATCTCCAAATATAGTTAAAATAGTGGAAATATGATTGAATAGTTGTGCTAATTTAAAATTATGTGTAACTTTGATTTTAATTTGATATTAAATTGTTAAATCTTAAAGTTTCACTTTATGGAAATATGCTAAAATCAATTAGGCTGAGCACACGGCAGAAACGGATCGATCTTTAAGCGGTAAAATCAAACTTAAGCAGGGTGAGACTATCTAAAAATGACATAATTAAAGTTAAATTAATGTTTAAATATGATGATTGGAGGCGGATGAGGCTGTAAGCTGCAGCCCATCTATTATTTATGAAACCAAATGCTCCAAACTCTTAATTGACCTGTTAAAAGGAGAGCCCGCGGGCTAATTAAGACAGGCGTTGTGCACTCAGAGGTAATTACTGTGAATACGCGGACGCCCCGCCCCTCTGCGTACGTGCGGTTATTTCCCAAGATTTATAGAGAGTAAGAGCGCTCACTCCGTCTCTTATTGTGTGAGTAAATGTGCATTTGTTACTAAAGTGCACCTCAGAGTCGCATGAATGTCACCACAGTGGTTACAAAGAATATTAATTAAACACAGGATTAGAAATTTATAAAAAGTGAAAGTATTTCCAGGTGGAAGGAAACTTTTGAAACTCTTAAAAATCTACAATAGAAATGTTTTGTTTGTTTTTGTTTGTTTGTTTTTTTTAAAGAATTGTCACACATGTAGTGACAGTAGAAAACATGTGGCACAATGGTGTATTATGTAAGTGTTTTAGCATTCTAGCCCACTTGAGACCACACTGGGCCCATGAACAAACACTCCTGCTGAACAAGATTGGAGTAAACACCCGTGGCTGCTCCATCTTCAGCATCATTTGTCCAGTATATCTACCATCCCTCCTGTCCAAACCATCTCAGCCTGTCCTCTCTAAACCACTCTGCCTCACGTATTCATTTCTAATCTTGTGAACGCTACTCTTAAATTTCAGCACCTTAATTTCAGCCACCGAAAAACAGAAAATTGTACTTGTGGGGTGGGGGGCAAAGGAGGGGCACATACCTCTTCAGCAAGTATGTGAAAATCCCTACATGTAACCGAGTCAACAAAATATCCAGAAAAACACTTCAAATCTATTTATTTATTAAATCTATTTATTGTATTATTATCTCTTTTGAGAAAACAAAGAATTTTTTTGTTTAAATGAGACCCCCACCCCCCAAAAGTTCAGCTGGGGGCTGTTGCTTCCCCGTGCCCCCCTGTAGGTCTCCCCCTGCTAAAAGCTTATCAAAAAGAAAAGCTTGGAGCCCAGACGATACTTTGTGTCTGTAGGTAGGTTTTCGGACATCCAGGTTATGTCTAAGACTTGGACTGAAAGCGAGTGGACTTCTTTATGTTTCTTGAAGACATTTCACCTTTCATCCAACAGACTTCTTCAATTCTAAAACCAAATGGTGGAGAGTCCCGGGTATTTAAATCCTAGTGGGAATTGTCCCTTAAGAGGGTGTGTCACGTGTCTCATTGAGTGTCACTGTGTATCTGCATTTCTTGGGAATTTTGTTCAGTTAATATGAATAAATAAATACTTTTTGTAATCAAATGTTCTTAATTTTGACTTCAAGACGTGAACAGACGGGCTATCTGATGGGTGTTTGCTTGTATTATATTTAAAAATCAATCATATTCAGCACGTCGTCTGATTTCCGGCAGAGTGAGTCACCGTCGCGTGTATAGACGATCTCGGTAGCGCGCTTCGCTCCGGTGCTGTAGGTGGCAGCAGAACAATGCAGCATTTCCTGTGGAGCCGCACAGTCACAACAAGAGGAGGAAGAGGAAAAACGACAGCTCTGGATCGTCGTCGACTGCCTTGCGTGACAACACAGGGAATCGCGTTCAGGCTTCGGGTAATAACATTTTTTATTTCCTCTTTGTCTGCTCGGGCGGCGCGGAACAGCGCGCGGCGGGTTTTTGGAGGTTTGTCGGTCTGTTCGCCGCCGTCTCCTCCGCTGTTTGTGAACTCAGTTAAAGGCACCAGAAACATGCCAATGGAGGCTTGCTGACCAAAATGGCTGGGCGCAGTGAAATGTGAAATATTCTTGCTAAGGTTATCCTTCCTGCACGCGACGCGACTGTCACGCGAACTCGGCGGTAAAACGCGCTTTTTAAGTGCAGAATAGTGCGCGTGTTTGTTTCTGCTGCCGTTACTTTTCTGTTTTTGCTTCTTATTATTAGCGCTACTGCGGCTCTGGGCCCTGCCGTATTTTTTTCTTCGGGGTTTCTGCATCGGTTGTTTGGCCACTTGTTTGCTCTCTTGTCTGTCGGGCGCTTATTTATGAACAGGTTCACCTTCGGTTGCAAGTTTCTCCGATACTTTGTTTGTTAGGCGCGCTGCATACGCTACCTGTATATATTTTCCAAAGTGGCATGCAAATAGAGCTCCACCCCTCAGCTGTGCAGGGTGCATGCATGCCCTCGTTCTTTGGTGGGAATGAAAATATTTGACAAGTTTGCTGATTTTTGTTTTGTTTTTTTTCCCTGCCCCCCTCTGCAGGTTGCTCCAGTTTGTCCTGCAACATGTCTGATTTACTAAGATATATCGACTATGACCACAAAGCCACCTTTCTGAAGATGCTCAACCAGCAGAGGTTGGAAGGTGAGCACTGTGATGTGGTGGTCGTGGTGGAAAACATAGAGTTCAGGGCTCACCGCTGTGTCTTGGCCGCCTGCAGCAACTATTTCAAAAAGCTCTTTAAGAAACAGAGCGACGAGGACAACTCCATCGTGGAGTTGGACTTCATCCGTTCGGATATCTTCGAGGAGGTGCTTAATTACATGTACACAGCCAGGCTGGCTGTGAGGAAGAAGGACATCAATATGATGATGTCGTCTGGTCAGATTCTGGGCATCAACTTCCTGGATAACTTGTGCACCCAGAAACGGGAGCTGACCAACATGAAAACGCGGGAAAACCAGGCTCCGGGTGACCATGGGATGAGAGCTCAGGATGCCATCCTTAAGGAGCTGGCTATGGAGGAGGTGAGGAAGAACAGCTTCTATGATCAGGGGATGGATAGCATGGGGCCTGGTGGCTCACACGTGTCTCAGCCGCACAACTATAACACCAACATGGGCAAAGAGCCGCACAGCCACACCTGGGGCTCATCGACCTCCAGCGACATGAAGCTGGAGTACCTGCTGTATGGCCACCGCGACCACGGCTCCTGCCAGAGCACGGGAGCAAAACCCATGGACCACAACGCCAAAAAGGAGAGGCTGCTCACCGCCAACCGCCCCTACGGCTGTGAGCACTGCCCCAAAGCCTTCACCACTGCCGCCCACCTCAAGGAGCATCTGAAGATCCACTCCGGTTTCAAGCCACACCGCTGCGTGGTGTGCGGCAAGGCCTTCATCAGGGGGCCCGACCTGAAGAGGCACGAAAGGGTCCACAGCAACGAGAGGCCCTTCGCGTGCCAAATGTGCGAAAAGGCATTCAAGCACAAGTCCCACCTGAAAGACCATGAACGGCAGCACCGGGGCGAGCGGCCCTTCAACTGCGGCTCTTGCGACAAAGCCTTCATCAAAGCGTCGGATCTGAAGCGCCACTGGAACACCATGCACAGCGCCAACCCCCGCAGACAGATGTCGCTGTCTCCCGCCGCCTCCCAGCAAGGCCAGGGAGACGCCACCGACCAGAGAGACTGGAAAATGGAGACCGGGCTACACTCGCATAACTCTGGGGACTGTTGAGCCTGCAAGCACACGTGCATACACTCACACACAGACACACATACTGACACGCAGACACACTTACATACAAATAAATATGTATACAGACTGACACAACCACAAACCTGTGACAGGCTGCGTGGCCTGACATCACATGAACAGCAATCGGAGTGAGTAACAAGAGATCATAGCATGTTAATAAGACTGTGGGGCTGTATTATTATTCTAAAGAGTTATGTCAAAGCGATGTTTCCTTTCCACCTGTAAAATCATGTAAATGTTTAGTTCACACTCTACATATATTTTTCACAAAGCATTGTTGCTATGTAGACTGAGGGTTCTCATAACATTATTCTCTTTTACTTTAATGGGATATGTAACATTTAAATGTTTGTTTAACCTTTACTGGATTTTATGGAGATGAAACGAGAGAGTGTAATACAGAAAGGGGGAGGGCGGGGAGATATTTCTGCATAACATTTGTTGCATTGAGTATATTCATGTGGATGTTTTTAATGGCTGTGTTTAGTTGTATTGATTGATATTACACTGTAAGAGTAAGAGTCACCATTTTGCATTCAGCGCAGATGATACCAAAGTCTTGGGACTCTTGATGGATCGCCTTTATTGAGGTTGTCCTGCCCAAGCAACCGGCCAACTAGATTTACTGTTATACAGTATAACTGTCATCCAGCTATCAACAGTTAATGATAGATGTCTGTATATACTGTAGCTTAGTTTGTTGCACAATTAGAGTACACAATAATGAATTATGCACATATAACATTGTCCTACTCCAACACTTTGACAATAAACACCATTTGCTGTGTTTTATTGCTTTGTCAAAGGGGTTTTTTGGAAGGTAGAAGCGAGCTGAGCACGCTCCGTGGGATATGTGTCATGCAGAATAACTTTTCCTGTCATATCAAACCACGAAGGTAACGGTGCCACACCCAGATCAGCCGCGGGACACAGATCTGATCTTCTTTTTCTTTAAAGTTGAGCAACATCCAATGATGGAGTTCGGTCTGCTACATGAAGAAAAGAGCTGCCTGAAACAGCAGCAGGCGTGTCCACTCGTCACAGCAGAGAAAGCACAAGTGGCTCCGATCCATTAAGTTTCCCAGTAAGCCTTGATGGCAAACCAGCAAAGAGGCGGGAGCTCCTCAAAGTTGGACCGCAGCCATCGTTAATCCACTTGTGCCTGCCCTCCTGTTAAGCCAAAATGATCTTGGGGGAAGCTTTTTGTTTT